AGCTGTAAAACATCTTTGGTTCCCCGATGGAGAATGAACTTTGTGAAATGCAAGTTTGACAATCTAGGATAGCTTGCTATAGATGAAACGTGAACCTGTTCTGTCTGTATGATCTCCTGAATCGTTCACTATAGGTATTTACAAAACGTAGCATTTCCATATATATGTTGCTAGCGCGATGAAAAGTAGTAAACAAAATTGAAAGGGCTACAATCACGTGACTGATGTGTCCAACATTTAATTTGATCAGGGCAATAAAAGAACAATTTCTTGTGGCACTGTTAACTTGATTTGTAAATGCTATCGTAATCCATGTGTAGTAGTTTTTTCTCAGTTGTTACAATTTGAGGTTTGAGCAAAACTCTATTTTGCAACCCATAATCACACAGGAAACAGATCTTTTGAAATAATTATGTCTTAAACATACAATGGAACTGAGTATATCATACGTTCACATAAACANAGTACATTGATCCATCGTACGAGTAACGATGCAGACCAAAACGAGTAAACAAGTGTCGGATCCGCTAGTAAAACTTGTTCATCCAAATGCACAGACTGTATTGGACTGGCATCTGTGTTTGCATCAAGTTCCTGTGGATATTTTGACCATCAAACTGAGAGATGGTCATCCTACACCACGTGATTAACTTAATCTGGTCAGTGCTGCACTGGATAGAATGGATGATCGGCTAGAGGCTGGNCTGGCGGACTATAAAGCGCGAACAACGGGTATGCTAATCATTTGCGTAATGTCAATGTGAGACAGCTATGCATCTCTGTCTATGCATTATTATGTTGCTTAATTGCGGGACCCTCGGACACGGGGTAAACACACAGAAACACTGGGCTGTACTTGTTGCTGGTTCAAACGGTTGGTCAAACTATCGACATCAGGTGCGTGACCTATGCGCGTTTGATTTATGCGTGCTTTAAACTAATATGTTTGTAAGGGAAAAATATCACGCACTGAATGCGTTACACCGGATCCAATGAATTTGTTTGCACGTGCCTTCTTGTTGTTCTTTGTTACATTCTTTTTTAGAAAACTGTTTAGCAAGCCTGGCAGAACGAAAAGAGGGGTCAAGCTAGTTTCTTCCCGTCCTGTATAGCATGTTACACGATAGGACAGTTCGTTAGTTTATATGTGCTACCGCACTTCCTGGCGATTCGGGGAGGTATTTAGTCTTTAAACATGGAAGATTCACATAAGAATTTAAAAAGTCAAACAATGGAGCGAACATGCTTGTTTTCGTAACTTCTTCCGGCCTTTACATTTATGTTTATATAGAATGTAAAATTGATTATGATTGGTTCATTGACGTTAAATCCGAAAGAACAACAATGTGTTGTCAAGATCCATAGGGGTAAAAGGAACTTGAGGAAAGGGAGGCCAAGATCAACTCTGGAAATTTCCAATGAACTTTTCATCTAAAGCGTGTCACACTATGTTGCATAATCTTCACCGGATTGACATCGTCGTTTGCTTCGTCGGTTAGATTGCGGCGGGGTCAAGGTAACTGGAATGCGGCAACGATTTTGTTCCGTTTGCATAATGGTGCGTTTAGGATCTACGAGACCTGTGGACGGCGGGCATTAGGGGGAACCTGAAAGTGAGATTCTCCGTATAGGTGTTCTTTCTTTCTTTCTGTTTGACTGCATCATGTGTACGGTTACTGTTTCTAATTTTTCTCAGGCAATGCACCTGAAATTGATAGCATTTTGGTTCAATCGTGAATCCGATGCGGGGCACATTGTCATGTGGAAGATATTTTCCCATTTGACTGATTATATACTGCGTTGCATGCTACTTTACTGGACCGATCCTCCTTCTGGTGCTGGGTCTACTACCACTTTGCCCGTATCAAGGTGAAATGCTTTGAATGAAATAAATGCAAAGTTTGGATTAACCTGTCTGAGCACACAGACAATAAACAACAATCCGAGTGATTCTTTTGGATTTTCTCGGATAAGTAAGAAAAATAAAGGCTGATCAGCAGTTAGTAAACATTTAACACGATTGGCATAGCAGTCAGGTTTAATGGTTCCTGTTATCTATACGAATGAGGTTTGACTGAATCCTCAAGTCCAAATCGGTATACGTTTGTGAACCTTGATTCTTCAGATAACCCATGACCAGAGTAAACAAGCCTGTCATCAGAGCGGAAACTTCAGTACTAAATTATCTGAATAATACAAATCATGTGACCTAATGTGGTCAAACTTAGAACAGAATATTCTTCTGGTGCGATGTTTCAGTTCGAACACCAAATCTGCCAATTTCCCTCCGCACATCAATGTCTATATTTATTCTGAACAGGCTGATGTCAGTCATGCATACCAATTGTTGCGACGCAACGGGATACCTGTGGAAAATATCGTGACAATCATGTACGACGATGTGGCAAATTGTCCCGAGTAAGTACCATATATCGTTCCCAAATCCGATCGAGATAGATTATTATTATTGCATAACAGTGTTTTGGTACACTGGCAGTCAATTTGACAACATCCATACTAAACCATTGTGTAACATCAAAGTGTCCGGTTTCTCAAGAGATGTTTGGAATCATACATTCATTAGAACTCATTTGGTAACTTCGTTGTCACATTGTTGACCACACATACACACAGACATGTTCATATACCCCTACACGGTGAAAACTCACGAGATCGTTTAAAGTGTGAATATCCTCTATAAAATGATTGTAAAATGTGCATAGAGTACAGGAGCCGAGAAGAGAAGTTGCTGACAATCGGCTAATTTCCCTTGGTTTTTACCGATGAAGAATAGATTACGATTTGTGATTATACTATCACATGCCAAAGGGAATATGATCAGATTTACTGTCTGAATAAGCTCCAGAAAACCAGAGCGCTTTGTTCAGTCCATTCGATGCATACACTAATGTGTTCAAAGGTCTGATCACAATCACTCCGGGTAGTGTTAGGTGGCTTGTTTTCGTATAATCGTTGATTTAACCAGGGAGCCACTCAGAGTGTGTATTGATCTAATATTCATATTTCCAAATTTATTCCCGGTTCCTATGTGGTAGTCTTTGCTTTCCTCGGTTATACTATTTCCTCATTCAGTGCTAAGCTACTCAAGCGGAATCTGTGCGACTTCTTTTGTCAGGATTTACAACTTTACTGCTCTGGTTTGAAAAATTCAAGTCGAATTGATGATGTGTTTAAACTAGCCTATCAGGCTGCTGAACTCTGATAACTAATTAAGCCATATAGAACCACAGCTATTTGTTTCCTATGATTTGGGCTTATCAAATCTGTTTTTAGTTTGGAAAAATTGGGTTAGTCACATATTAAACCTACACGCAGTCCCCATACCACTTCCAAGTAGACAATTTGCCAAACTTCTGCTGAGTTGAATAGAACTCACTCCAACATCTAATTGTGCACACTTCGGACATACCTATTGTTTTGGTCTATTAAAGGGTTCAGCTGGGTGTTCAGACTTGACGCAGTTGAGGCAGGAACTGACGTTGATCGGATCACGTGGATTTGGTTTTGAATGATTCTATGTGCGTGTTTACCGCAATTTCACCAGATCAGAAGGAAGCGAAACAAAAATTACTAAACAACGCACGAAGAAAGTAGTTATTTGCTTGGACTAAGTAAGGTATCAATCCGGAATGACTGCAACTGATAGCGGTAAGTAAAACGTACTGAAGGGGTATATGCAGGGGCAAAATACCTTTCTAGCAGCCCTGTGTAAACCATGTGACGCTGCTCGGATTCAATATTTAAGACTGTGGTTTTCGTTTGCTTTCTCAAATAAAAGTGGTAAAACATAAGCTATTCGTGATTTGGTTAGTGATTCTCACAGACTTATGCAGCAGCATTCACAATACGGGTACGTGGAAGTCAGATACAAGATAATCACACTGAATTGTATACCATACAGGGTGAAGTAAAAATGCCATCAAGAAACTAAGATCTTTAGATCACATAAATAAAGTTCTGTAGAAAAATGAGGGTATAGATATTCTCTTTTCGCCGATACTGGAAAAACAATCATTCAAAATAGATCGACAATCCATTGCTTCTGGGCTACCGAGTTTATAGTCATGACTCTTTTGAGAAAACATCAACAAAGTCTGAAAACTATTTCTCTACTTGTGGATCTGCTTCTGTGCATCAATCTTTTCGCCTGTGTGAGTCTGAATTGACAGATTCTTCTTATTGTGACCACTTCTCTAATTTTAGCTCAATGCTATTTTTCATTGTGTATATATGTGGGTGACTGAGCATGCATCTCTTGGTGATGCCTTGAGCAAAACGGGACTTGTGTGAAGATAAACTATCGCTTATCAGGTTAGATGAAGAACAATCACTTCACAAAGGATACCTGACTGTTCCTCACACAAAATGTAGACGAAAATATCTTTCAACATACCATTACGAGGGCTGAGGAAACCGTTTTTGGATACGCATCACAGGCAGTACGAGGCGCAGATGACTGGACAAGGAAAACGTGAAATGTAATCTATTGTGAATCATGTTCAGCGATTGTAACTCACAAAAGCAAATATCGTCCAATTAACAATGTGTTTGCTGGAATCATATTTATCCTGGAGAAGGAACAGAACGGACAACTACCGTTCCGAATATATTGGTCAAACAAAATAAAGATGGACAACTGGAAACCGACGTCTGCCGAAAGCCATCCCACAATAACCAGATCCTCAGTTTTCAGAGCAGTCACCTTTTAGCTCACAAAAGCATCTGAGTAAAAACAATTTTTTCAAACGAGCAAAAACGCACTGTAGCACTGTTCAACTTCAAAAGGCAGAAGAGGCTCACCTTTTTGAAGTGTTTCAACGTAAAGAATAACCACGAAATTTTTTGCTACGCTGCTTACATGCGACGCTCAAGAAGAGAACGGCAATTGAACCCCCGGGGGAAGCCTCAAATACACAACGAGAAGGGTGACCAACGATTGAAAAAACAACACTACCATATAAACAAGGAGTCTCGGAAACGGTGACCAGATTATTACATCCATTAGGAATTTTGGTTGCACACAAGACAACAGCAACAGTGAAGGCTATCCTATCGAGACTAAAGGATCAAATGCCAAAAGAAGATTCCTCAAAAGTCATTTACAGATCAAAGTGTCGAGACTGTGACAGATCCTACGTCGGCCAAACCAGCACAAAAATCATGACTCGACTACATGAACACACATTCGCAGTCAAAAGACACGAGGAGAAGTTTCAAATCTCAATCCATATGTATGCTGAGAATCATATCTTCGAACTGAACAATGCAAGAATAATCGGAAGAGGAATCACAAGGTCAATGCGGGAATTCATCGAAGCATGGCCCTCCAGGATGGACTGTATAAACAAAGATATAGAACTGAAACCCACCTATTATTACCTAAGGAACCACTGGTGATCCAAAGCTGTCGCAGCTAAAACCGATCCAGAACCAATTACAACCAGTTTGAAACCGATTCAAACCGGTTTATAGTTGGCCCAAGAAAGCCAATCGACCAATGAGGAAAGAGGGGAGTCACTATGACAACGACGCAACCAATCAATTCACAGTAATTGGTCACAACTGACCAATAGGATTGAAGGGACCGAAACGTCGCTCAAACACAACGCCATAAGAGCGGTCTCATTGAGGAATGGCGCTTCACAGAAGGTGATTATGTTGCCTAGTCTGGCTACGAAACGTCTGCGAACAACACTTCCAGCTCGGAGAATGCACCAACAATTACATCAAATATAAACAGCCGAGTACAACTCACAAATCTTAGGGGGGGGGGTGCTACACTTGGACTGCATGGATTGAAATCAGTCTCCGTCACTGGAGGGTGATGATTCTCAATGACTACAGTAGTAGTAGTAGTAGTAGTAGTAGTAGTAGAAGCAGTAGTAGTAGTAGTAGTAGTAGCAGAAGAAAAGAGTTGATTGTTTCTGAGCTGTCTTTGGTGGTGATGCGCCATCCGGAAGCAGTGTTTAAGTGGTTCATGGAATTCAAGCATGGCTGACGGTCCTTGGAGGGTGAGATACGGTGTAGTCGACCGGTGAAGACAATATTGCTGGCATTCCAGTGATGGTAGAGGATGATGAGTGAATGACAATGACACATCATTGTGATTAATCCGTACCATCCTATATGAGAAGCTCGGCCGCAAAAGGGTTTGCGCACGCTGGATACCCCATTAGCTCAGTGAAAAATAGAAAGCATCATGACAACGCACCTGCACACGGGTTCCATGTTGTCGGTGATTTTATGACTGCAGAATGCAAACAGGACGTTGTTACCCACCCTGCATTCTAGAAATGGCTCCGTTTGACTATTTTGTGTCCCAAAATATCAACCGGATAATGCGTGTAATCCTATATGACCCACCAACAGTTGCAGTGGAGGTCTTCGTGAAACTGGTCAAAGGATTATCCGCTTTGACCTGGTCGATCTGTTTCAGCAAACGATTTGAGCGTATGGAACTGTGCATGAACGCTGTTGGAGAATGCTTCGAGAAAATGTATTGCTTATTTTTGTGACAAATAAAATTTTTGATGCATCCAGAAACCTGTTGCTCAACCCTCGTACAATTGCCGAAATGTCCCGTTTTCTATCGTTTTTATTATTGGGTCAGACTTACTAGTTGTTCGCAAAATTTACAGGACAGAGTCAACTACATATCCAGGACGAACACAGTAAGATACTACTGATGTTGTGTGTGAGCACAATATTTTCTGTAGACACCTGAAAAGGTTATCCGTAAACTATTCAGCCTAAACTTCGAGGCTCCCTTTTGGTATTATCTCGAAGCAGTTCATTTCTGCATTGGGCCATTGCGCATTTACACACTGGAAATTTGAACTCATCAGATCTTTGGTTAGCACTTCTCAATGTATCGAATTTAAATTTACCACTGTTAGGGTTTTTTACACCTTGCAATTGTTCAGAACCCTCCACTGCAGACGGCACAGTACCAGGTGTACGAACTTTGACACATATTTGTCTGGGAATTTGGGCGGGAATACTGTGGAAACTTCGGGATGATTCACGAATGTCTCTTTGAAACGGTGGATGAAACTGCCGTTTGACTTTCTAATACAGATGTAACAAAACACTTAGTGAACCATTAGGGTGAAAGTTGCTTGACGTCAGTAAAAGCAGTCGTTTGATGCAATCGAAAAACCCATATAGGATGTCACTGAATGTACACAATTTAAATTCGTGAAAATTACCTAAATTGTGGGTTACGGGGCTACGGATGCGCTAAATACTGTCCAAATTGCGTATGGAATCACGAGTCCCACTTTGCATCCAAACTCTTTCAAATATTGTCCGGTCCGTATCTCGAGATATGACAAACGTCCACTACACACCTTTATCTCCAACTTAGACCCCCCCCAATCCCGAGGCTTTATTTCTTTGAAGCACATTGCTTAGTTCTTTCAAATGCTGCAATCACGGTTTCAACTGAATTAATTGAACTGCTTAGATGTTATTGTATTGAAGTCAGTAAATCACATTTTACGTTTGTCGTCAATCGGATAGAAAGGGAAATAAATAAATAGATCCACGAAGTCCTATTATTAGTTTCAAACAATGGCGAATACTGGGAACAGAATTATTGGCAAATCAGCTCCGCGCTGATTGCGGACACGTGCGCTTTCAGTGATAAATGAGTTTGAGTCTGGAGATATTCATTCCCCTGTATTTATGCGGATGGTCCGGTTATACGAATGTAATGTATATGAATTGAAGAATATTCAACTATTGTACTATCATTTTTTTCATTCTTGATTTTTCTTTTTTTCTTCAAACTCCTTTAGTAATCCCTTTCCGGGAAAATTATTCAACGATTACGAGCATCACGACGTCTACCACGATGTTGTAGTGGATTACCGAGGCGAGGTGAGTGGTTGATTCGTGTTTGCATGCAAGGAAAAAAAGAAATAGAAACACTTGAACTATTCAACTCAACTACGATTTTTCGCTTTAAACTACACAATCCATGCTCAGAGTCATTGTCTTCGCCAGAGGGAATTAAAATTAATCGTTTTGAAGTTAAAAAGAGCTCAGTTGAATGTGTGACGCGAAAACGGTCGATAAATTCTTCTAGACACATTTGAAAGGATGGAAAACAGAAAAAAAAACAGTCTATCCACTTCATCAATAAAAATTAACGTAATCAATGATTATGACTGTATCTGACGGGACTTGTGAATTTGGGCTGTACTATTTTTCAAATAGTTGTTTGCCACTTTTTTATTTTGGTATTTCTATTAATTATCCGCTCTGAATTTGCTGTGGTATTCATGTATTTGTAATCAATGATGATCAGATGCACTCAATCGAATCAATATTGTGTGCCTTTCTGTTCGTCTTATTTTGCGCAAAACGAATAGAAAGAATCATGTAAACTATTGTGGTGAAACGCAAAAGTGTCGTGTTACGTGATACGTGTAACTGACATTCAAATAACAGAGAATCGACTGGTTTCGAATCTGACGGTTTTTGAACGTCTACTCAAATACCAATAGAAAACATCACAATGAGCAGAACTCAAACTGTAGTTGCCTGATATTTTTCAGAAGTTCGGGCTACATGGATCGATCAATAAAATTTAGGGATTTCCCTTTTTCGGATTGACAGGGGCTCACCAAAAGGTAACGAAACACCAGAATTTTATTTATTTCCTAACCTGGTCCTGATGCAGCTTCACCAATTGAATATTCAGACTGCACAATACCTGTGTTTTGTTTCATAGTATTTTCTGCACCGTTTATCAACCAGCCCATTTAGAACACTTTGAGCAGCCGGAATAGAGAAATGACGAGTGTTACATAGCTGAGCATGAAGCTCAGATACACAGGGTTTAGGACAAGATCATGGAGATGGTTTTCTCCGGTCTCAGTTTTGTGAGATACTACTCACATTTTTAAGTAGTTCACAAAAAGATAGCATCAGTGGTTTCTTTTAACTGTGCATAATGAACAAAGCTTGTTGGAGAAGACTCGTTCTAAATGAGGCACTCTGTTGATTCCAAATCTTACGTTAGATGGTGCACCCTTTTGCTGAATATTCTTCATTGACCCCATATTTCGAGTTTCGAGCTCGAAATTCACCATGTAAGAGAACACGCCGCGGTACGTTAGACGGTGCACTCTTTTGCTCGACCGTTATTCATAAGAAACAATTATCCTCGTCCAGGCACCGCCTTGTAGAATTAAATCATTAGGACGAAATTCACACTGGAGCCATAAAAAGTCGCTTTTGGGAATAAAGTGACGAATTGAACAGATTGAGGGTCACTGTCCGGGTTGTTGGTACAGTTGCTTAAAATTGGCCTTTGCTAGATTAGGAGACATTGGGCGTTTCACGACGGAACTGGAGATAGCTTTCCCCGCACCGGTAGCAAAATTTATCCGGCGGTTCTACCTGTGTTTCTCGCCAAACATGAACACATTAATGAGTAAGTAATTACCGAAAGGGAGAAATGGCTACTTATTTCTAAGGTCCATGGAATTAATCAGCTGATTGGTGAACTAGAAGTGTAAACATGATGCCGAAAATATGCAAGTGGTTGCCATTTCCCGACTTTGGGGCATTAATTCACTTTTTTAATTCCCTTTGAAAGGAAGTCGCCTGTATGAGTCTCTCTTATTTACTGTTACCATTGGTGTTCCCTTGGGTGTTTCGGATGAACCGTTCTGGGTAACCATTTAATATGAATATTTGTTTTATGCTTTATAGTTCCTGAGTAAGAGGCAAAGAAACAGGTTACGTTTCATCTCAAGGCATTAATATATGCCTCGAGGGACATTTGTCTTGATAGTTTATTGAGCTCTGATAAGAACTGAAGTTAGTCTTTGGTCTTTCATCTCAGTCTATTCCAGTCTAGTAGGATGTTAATGATATTATTAGTTTTTTTTCATTTTTGGAAAAAATAATATTATGCAAAGATTACCAGCCTCCAACACTGCGATACGCGACCTCAAGCTTTTGTGCCCTGTCACTTTAAAAGCTGACTTCTCGGATCCATCTTCAACAATTATGCGTCACTCTCAAATGAGTGTTCGACAATGCTCTGAAAGTGGCATGCAAACCACCCGGAACGAATCTTTACGTCTATATTTATCCAATATCTGATAGCAGACGAATCGGTTGAAATTTGCCTCGACATCCGGAACAGGGACTTGATGGTGTGGTTTGATTGATTACTGCAAACGTATATTCAGTTATGATCAAAGGTGCCACCTGCCAATCTACGAATCGGTTCCAAACGATTACGTTTTCCGCCTGATACATTTCACATATCAATATCCTAGTCAATCAATGCTAGAGTTCAGCTCAACCATCGCGTGGCTCAGATTAGTAAATTTCAATGAATTAAAAAATATGAACACTGTTCAATTTAGACCAAACTCGGTGATCTAGTTATTCACTTATGTAGCCATTTACCATGTAGCTTCGGGGACAGTGGTTTCGACTTATAGTCTTTGAGACTACTCAAAGTTTGTGAGTTCACTGAAGGTAGATGAAACAAAATACTAGACACCGCAAAAAGATGCCGAATTGCTACAACGATCGACTCTTTATTTCAATCGGTTTGCCTCGGATTGTACGGTTTACTTGAACGAGCTTCTAGTAGAACAAACAAAGGTGGAAAGCAACGATTTCTTCTTAATAGAATGACATGCAAAAAAAATGACTATAACTCAACTGAAGCATGCTCATTTTTTGTAATGCATTATTGTATTCTATCCTAGATGGTTATTTATGCAAATATCTTCTATTCAGGGGCTTGAATAACACCGGTGATACAAACGCGAAAGTGGTGTGCCATTCCACTTGTGAGAATTGCATTATAATTGACAATTCGAACGAATCTTCCGGACAATTTGGTTTATAAGAGCTACTGACTGGCAGAGTTGTCGGTCCGTGACAAAATACTTCCATCATCCGGGATTACACACACATTCTCCATCCTCCCTGCTGCACAACAATTAATCATCGACCAATGATGTGTAGTGATTAGTCGACTAACCAGTGAATAAAATGCACGAAAATGGTCATTTATTAATTGAATTAAACCCAATTAATAGGGAAATATTTCATAGGACGTTGCTCATATCCGTTCCTGAGGTTTTCATTTACACGTGACTATGACGTCAGAGATAACCTATCCCCCACCCCACCCCCACTCCGGTGTGAGAATTTCACGGTTAATTTGCGGGAACCTCTTGCTGGCACTAGTTGAGTCCACTAAAGAATGGTAATCAAAGAAACGCACTGCTCAAATACATATGAGTGAAACAAATATCTGAAAAAAACCCATTTTAACATTTTTTACTCACCAATAGAAATGTTTGACTATGAATCTTAGTCGCCTAGATAAACATTGTTTACTCACAGCTTCCTTCTGGAACCTTAATGAGGCGCCGTAATACTCGATAATTAAAAGTAATTGCAATGTATTTTTATGATTATTGAAACAGTTTAAGTTTCACAAAGATGTAGCATCTTCATGCTGTTAGTTTCCTTGGTCTTCCTCTTTGATCTCATTAAGTATCCTCTTTTTTACAGGACGTCACACCGGAAAATTTTATCGGTGTTCTGTTGGGTGATGCAAAGTTGAAGAGTACCGGAAAGAAAGTTCTTGAATCGTGAGTCGGTCCGAATTTTTGGAATACCCAAGGCAATCTCACTAACTACTTCAAGTTTTTAAATGCTTTTATCGTCTTGAAAATCCGTCTTACGTATCTCTTGTTTGATCACTGCGACGCGATTAAGCGCTCCCATATACCCGTCGACAGAGGGCAATGAGTAAATCTTGAGAATGAGTGTAGCAATAGTAGTATTGAAGCTTTGAGAAAACTGAATCAAGCCTTTCCTAAGATTAATTTCAAAAGAAAAGAACATATTGCAATACTGCACGATTTTTGTCCAGGACGATTTCGCTGCATCTCATCATAGTGCATACTGCAGAACACAATATTTATATAGGGATTTAGCATGGCAACAAAGAAGAGCAAAATACAATGAAACAGACAAACATAAAAGGAAGGGGTAAAAGAACTGTGCCACCAGGGTAAGGATAAACTAACATAAAGTTCTTTTTGTCGCCTAGCGGGGCTTCCATAGGCTGATTGCAATCGCTTCTGTGAACCGTAGCAATCTTGCGGTTCGTGAATTGTAATCCGATACGCCGTGCTTCGGTCGATCTGGTGTTGTGTCATCAGAAGATGTCCAGCTATAGCTGATAACGCGGTCTTGCAGTTTCGACCGTTGTTTCTACGTCGCAGACTTCACCCAGTTTGCGTTTTCCGACTTCGGACCCAATTTGGAATATGTTCAACCACCCGGTTACGTAATTTTCTCTCTGTTCTGCCCACGTAGGTTGCTCCGCACGCACATTGGAATTGGTAAATCAGATTAGAATTGGTGTACACAGGCAGACGTTCTTTTATCAGGGGTGTGGGTATTATATGGTTGTCCGATAGATGATTTGGAAGTCAGTTGCATAGTAGGTTCGAGCAATTGCCTATCGCAATCGTTTTTTTGAGCAAAAGCCTTTGAATTGGAGGATCTAGCAAGTTTTTACGAGAAAATACATGTGATGAAACAACTGAGCTGAAGCGTAAAATTGCCTCTGAAGTTCAATTGTTATTGGAGGGACATTTCATTGATGAGAACACTGCCCGGGCTCAGAAGTCTAAAGGAACTCATATTCCACAACTTTATGGCCTGCCAAACCTCCACAAGCCAGGCGTGCCACTCAGGCCAATCCTGTCCATGACGAACTCACAACAGCAAAAAGTGGCCAAATGGCTGGTCAAGGTGTTAGAACCAGTCCACAGATCAATGGTGTTACATAACGTCAAGGTCAGTTTCGACACTTTGGACAAGATAAATGTCAAAGGAAACCACATGGCTTCATTCGATGTTCAATCCTTATTTAATAATGTACCAGTTCGCGAAGTCATAAAAATCATTTGTGATCATATAGAGAATGATCAAATCCGAGTGAATCTACCAGTGTCAGTCCTGGAGCGTTTATTACTACTCTGCACACCCAATGTGTCTGTCACTTTTCAAGGAAATGCGTCCAGGCAAATTGATGGCGTCGCAATGAGAAGCCCGCTAGTCCCAGTCCTGGCAGACGTGCTTACGGCATATCTTGAACACACGGCAAAAAACATTCTAGAACGTGCCATCCTTTACAAACGATACGTCGACGACACTCCTTGTAATAACATAAAGCCTAAACGAAGCTACAGTAATTCTGAATGAGCTTAATAGATTACATCCAAATATTTTCTTTACAATGGAGTTCGAAGCCGACAACACAATAAATTTCCTTGTGTGTATGTAAATCAATCAGTTCGTTCAATTTGCCACACTTCCAAATCATCATCATACACCGAGCAGTTTGTATTTGAACTGCTCCACCGTTTTCGATATTTTTACCTGAATTTCGATGGATTACTTTTTCAAATGAGATTGAACACATTTAGGAAGAATGAATTCCTCCCCCCCCCCAATATCCCCATCTAACGTTTAGCTGAACCTGTCATAATCGTTTATCATATTCCTGACACTGTTTTACTGCTACTAGACATCAAATGTCCGCTTGAACTATTACAACTCACCCCGTAGAATCAGAATAAACGTATACGTACAAATATTTTAAATTTCATCTCTCAAAGTAGTCTCATTTAACACTGGTTACAATTTAGACAACATTGTTTTCCAACTTCACAATCGATAGATGCTGAACATACTCGGCGGAACAGTAGCGCAAATTGAGATGCACAAGGCTGATTATATATCACTGAACATAAGTTCATTCGCCGCTCTGTTTTTTTATCGATCGATATGTTGTACTGGGAGAATCATCCATACAGGTGATAATTAAGTGTCGAGGGACCATTTACGCAAGGATTTCGAATAATGCATACTCTGGAACTTGTTGCTATCACACGGTTTCATCCTGCATTGATTTGGAAATACTTAATTTCACAATCTAAGAAGTATATTGAACCTTCTGATGGCACAGGATCCGTGAAGAAGAACCAAATGAACAGATTTTAGGAACAACTCAGTTTACGTTTGTTGGCAATGGCTTGTCGATTACAAGACTTACGGAGCAGAGCAAACAGTGATCGATAGCAAAGTTCGTAAATGCATGCGCCTGTTTGTGTCTGCAGGTCTTCACAGACCAGGCCCGGACAAGACATTCTGTGGGGGCTACTACAAACATGAATCAATCGGGTATAATGAGGTTAAACGGACGCACCATTGTTTGTGGTGGGGGCCAGAGCGAATGAATATCCTTGTTGATTTATTTCATTTTCGTTGAGAGTAAACGGAGACAAAGTTAGGAGTGATGACTTGAGACGGTATTTGTTCTGCTTTTGGAGTCTACCCGAAGAATATCAGACGACCACAACAACACAATGTTGAATCTTTTAAGTACACGCAGTAGATATGACCAGTGTCACTCGGGTATGAATACTTCTCGTTGAAAAGCGACAGGGAATTCTCCGGGTTTTATTCGACTACTCTCAAATAACTGAGTAAACGAATGCGGGGGATTTCAACTCAAATAAATTCACTTTCTTGAGCATACGAAACAATGACGAAGTCCGGACCAGTTCAGTCACTGTATTCATGAGTGAACCGAAATGCGAGCTTAATTAATCTATCTCTCAAAAGCTTTTCATATGTGTATGAACAATGCATTATACTGAGATGGATTAGTGCATACATTCAGTTTTTTACTGTATGTGAAATGCGTCACATTTGCACTGCGTCATCCCCTGTATTTGCCTGTTCATCCCTTTGTTTTAGCGGACCAGATGACGATGTGTTCATTTTTTTCACGGATCACGGTGCTCCAAATATGATCTGTTTCCCCAACAAAGATGTCAGTGTGTGTCCTTTTTTGCATATGTATACATTCTTGCATTATTTCTAAGCCCACTGTGAATTTTCCAAATTCTGTGACCTTGTACCATCATTGGCAGTCTGATGCTATTAGGATGCCATTATTATCAGACGGGGTTACTGCAGAAAAAGCCCGTGCAAAAGCAGAAGTCAGTATCCTAGATTGTTAGACGATCGTGCGATAGACTGTGAACCGTAAGACGTGAGCAACCTTCTCACATTTTTGTACTGGCTATTTTACTTCCATTCAGTAGAATGGTGTGACCAAGATGTAAGGTAATGATAGAAGCAGAGTCGGCAGACAATACTTGTTTCATAATACGATCATATTGAGTTGATAAGTGAAATGAAATCTGGAAAACGTTTGACCTTCATTGTCTTAGTGAATGCCGCCTACTTATGTCTTGCGGTTTATAAATGGTTTATGTTTATTCTAGTTGTCTGAGCTTTTGAAACAAGGTTATCAATAAATGCGTTGGTTATGCCTCAGAAATCTCATATAGTGTAATTATTGTTGTGTGATTAAAACCACGCGAGAGATAGTGCATCATGGCTGCAATTCCATTTTTTAACTGTGTTTGGAAACTACTTATTTTCAGCTTATTCCGTCAGGGATTCAGTGAATGAAACCTCTCAACACTGTGATGGACGTCAACAGTGAACACTGATGGAACTTTTTTTAGAATCATCTCCCAGCAATAGCATTCGAAAGGAATGCAAATTCACAAATATTCGGAATAAACGGGGTAGTGGGGCTCCATGAGGGAAACGAGGTTCACAAGTAGACCAGGTCGCTGAAACCTCGTGGAACATGGTGCTTTCCAATTGGCGGGATGTAAACGACACGCGTTCGCATGATAGTGAGCTTCCTTTGGTGCGGTTGAAATTATGGCAATAGTCAATTGCATGCCTAAATCACATTTTAGGCTTGGTTAAAGCCATGCAGAAGTATTCATATCGATGACGGAATGAATTGGTTTCATCAGGATTATTTTGCCTAAGTTCCTTACCCGAGCCCGTACTGCGAGCCACCGACTTGATCGCGAAAACAGAAGCAAAAGTACTCATTATTTCTGTTCCATTTTATTCTCCGAATGTTAGTGATGGTTTGTCTCCAAACGGGAACCATCCGAGGAAATTCATCCCACAAAAGAGAATTTACCATTTTGCGATGAAGCATAAAGCCGTTTTGTTTGACTAACAGCTAGCAACGTACAAGTGAATACAAGAAGAACTTAAATGAGAACCCTCGTTTCTCAAATCTATCATACCTTCATTGGTACGGTAAGAACATCACTGGGAACAAATGTTTTCCAAGCCTAATGAGTTTTTTTGAAACAACGAACTTGATGTCTAAAGCTGCTCTCAAGTGCTGTCTGGATGAGGAACTCAAACGTAGAAATGACGGAGAGATAACTACATGTAATCGGACCTTCGACCCAGTGGTGACAGGGGCTTACATGGATATCCTGCCCTCTGCACTCAAGACTGAAAATTGACTGAAGTGTTGATTCTTTCGCAGTACAAATGTGGTAACACAATCGTCCNTCCGTTTTTTTGTTCTTGCCCATGCGCGTGCTCTCTCTCACACACAGCTTTATGCGACACAACTTGAAGAAACTCTGGAAAAAATGTATCGGCAGAAGCGATACAGAAAACTTTTGTTCTATCTGGAGGCATGCTACTCCGGATCAATGTTTGAGCGGATTCTCTCGTCGAAAATGAACAGTAAGCTCTCAAATCTAGTTTGCTTCATTCTCATTCGATTTTCGCATAGAACTTATTCCAGTATTTTAGTATTTCAGTATTCCAGTTTTATAGTCACTTGGTTCTTGAAATAAGCTTTATATGTTGCGCGCTAAAACCTCCATTCCGGAGTTGAGTAATTCGCCTCATGTGGGATTCAATTTATTTGGAAACAGAGCCGGCACAGGGTGTTGGTTCTTGAATAGATGACGAGTGCAACGTTTCGGGCTCTCTTGTCCGTTTTGTGTCTTTCTGCGCGTACATCGATGGTGGTGAAAACAATATGCCGACGAACATTGCAAATAAAGTTTTACGGGGGTGTCTGACTCCCTTTTAATAATTAGTTTATCCTTGTTTCACCTGAGCTATTCTGTCAGGAGTCGCACGACTCCAACATCCATTGTTCCTTCATGCCAACCCATAGCTTCACACTGTACGTCTGAAAGCCTTGTTTTTTAATGTTAGTTTAAGTTATTTTATCGCATTTATGAAACTACTTACCGTTTCAATTGCCATTTTCTCTTTCACATCTAATAGCAATCTGGTCTAAAATAGCCTTCCGCGAACAATGCAGAATGTATAGCTTTAATGTATAGCTACTGTAGATAAAACAATTTTCAAAATTGTCTCTGATTTCTTTTATTTTTTAACAACCAAAACTGTATACCATGATCAGATGTGATAAATATGACCGGTTGGTAGTGATAGTTTACTGCACGGCTGTAAAAACACGAGACAGAGTTAGAATTACACGGATATGACAATATACAAAGAGACACTAAGCGATCATCATTTTGGTTAGTATACACAGCTTATTTTCAGGATTATACATTCGTTCATGAACAGCGATTGCCAAATCTCATGTTAGTTCATAAACCAATTTTATAATCTCTTTAGAGAATGAAATCGGTTTCCTTTTCCTTGTCATCCCTAGTGACATTCTGGTGGTTCCAGTGGTTCTAAGAAAAATGAGGATAATATATAATAACTATTGATTTTGTGAGAACTCCTAGTTACGTGCTTTGTCCAATCTAAGAATTGTAAAGCATATTCTACTATCAGTGCCAAAGAACATTATTGCAGCCAGTCAGTAGCGTGACCTTTATCCTGTTACTCAACAAATTAACCTTCATACTGGTAATGATGATTTGACCTTCGATTGAGTTGTGTGACTGCTGAGTTACAAATTTCGTGGGACGTAGTTTGACTGGCAAAGGTCCAAGCGTTAATTTCATTTGAATGCGTCACATTAATTGTAGATAGTTGAATACAGTTGCCATTATACATTCATCGCATCTTTCCATCCCAATCAATCGATCCTGACCGAGTGATTGCACCAATTGGGCATTTTGATAACAACCACAAGTGTTTTGTTTCCGAATTACCTGTTTTTCCTCAATTTATCCTGTTCTCGAGGTACTGGTGGTGTTGTTCGTGTATTCAAGTTTTCTAACAGTTTAAATTTAGTCTGCATGATACCAATTCATTGGAAGAATTTCAATTTATTTACTTGTGCTACTGAAAAATATGATAGTAGACACACGTGGATATTGAATAATTGTAAAAACTCATTGTTTTCTTTGCTCTGCTCAGTACTAGCCGTTACCGCAGCCAATTCTCATGAAAGCAGCATGGGCTGTTTTTGTGACGACAAGCTGATTGACACATGTCTGGCTGATGAATATTCGTACCGATGGATTACAGACTCCGAAAAGGTAAGTTGCAGGAACACAAAGGTTTTTGTCGGTTTTTTGGGTTACAGTTGTATTATATCACGACGAAAAATGAGGTGTGAATATGTGCCATTATGATGGTCCTATTCCGGGCCATATTATCGCTCTAGTAGCTTTGTGACTAAAGGCAAACAAACATTAGGGGACAGATTGATGTCTACTGCATGAGCAACTTCACCTTTGCAGGTATGAGCGCTACTAAACACTTATCTGTTTACTGATCACATATTATGCAAAGTTTTATCAAGTATTTTGCAGATGAACTCGAAATAAAATAAGAGTAGCTTGATCAGTTTGCTGATAGACTTTTATCCTGTTTATCACCTGCTATCAATTTCCTCATTTTATTCAACACACAAATTGGACCGATTTATTTACGAAAAGCATCAATTGAATAATTGGACCGTAGGAGAACAATTCGTTGCCGTAAAGCGTGGTGTTAACACCAGTCATGTAATGGAATACGGAGATTGGGTGAGTATATTGTATTCTGATGGACCGACCGGATTGTGTGTGTCTCGGTGTTTGCTGTTTAATTAATTTCATCCAATACTTCATGTTCAATCTTAAACTATTTACGGAGTAAGCACCTGATCCAAAGAATTAATCAGTTGTTCAAAGGCAACTCCTCAAACCGCAAAAGAATCATGGAGCATTTCCACTGATTGAAGCTACCGGATAGAATGCTCAATGTTCTGAGTTATCTAATTTTAATATAGCTTGGTTAACACTTGTTAAGGTGACCTTCAATCATAATGTGTTGCCTGTGCCCTTAAGATTTAACTTCATTTAGAACGACAGATGTTCGATCGATCCGAAGGTGTGCAGATTGAGGATGAAGTTCCTTAAGACATCTTAATTACTAAAGTTTCATTGGTTTGTTATTTGCCCCGTTTAACCGACAGAAACGTAATTTTACTCCCTCTGTGATAGAAAATTGTATTTAGAACCGTTTACCTGTTTACAGTAATGCTTTATCCCATTTTTTATTCATGGTGTACTGTATTCCGCCAAATAACCCCTTCACAGTTTCACAAACTAATTTAATTCGCAACAGTTTGCGTTCACCTTTATCAAGCATGTCAATCAGCAGTTAGGGAAATACTCCGTTTTAAGGGTAGCGGAAAATATAATCATGTTTGTGTTGTTTGAAAAATCAAGGTTTCTAATTCACGATTGAATTTGAAACGGACACCTATTAAAAAACAGTATTCCAATTAGAATACTGATGGAAATCATTCTGAGTTCGAGATATGCGCCTCGACGCTAAATCACCTGATTCAGCAATAATGATTTCCGAAGCGCCTTGAAGAAGTATCATTTTGTGATATTGTGTTCCAAATGAAAACAGGCTGTGGAATATGGGACTGGCTCTCGTAAGATGCACTTTATCGACGATTCCGTTCACCCGGTAGGCCATTTGGCCTAAATTTGCATTGCATTTTCCCCTGTATGACCGATCGTGTGATCGTCACGTTTGTGATTGACGAGCACCACTATTGCACAGATGCGTTCAGAATAACAATTCAAGCCGAAATTTACAAATATGTTCTTAGTTGTCTGGTTGTGCGCACGTCTAGGGGACACGACAGATCACTTACTTAATGCCAAGGTTTATGCCTATTTAATTTGGGTTGATACAGATTGAGTAAGCGCTTAGCAGGATTCGTGGAAAACGGAGTACAAGGGTTCACTATAACACGATTCACCGTACACTTGATTGAAGGCTAACCTATCCCAAGGATAACATTGTGCCCCCCCCTCCAGGGAATAATTTCACCATTGACAATTCTTCTTCCTTCGTTCGGGCAGACAAAGCGATCAATTTGGATAGGTGTTTATCAAGAGAAATCACTAGCTGATTCTATGATCAGCACAGCTCGTATTTCCTCCCGTGTCGACAGGTGTGGAACGTCCCATTTGGACAGACTTTTGTGAATATTGCAGGTAATTTGGCCAGTTTGATGGAAGTTCAGTGTATTCCTTTGAAGAAAAGTACCGGCAAATGCGGGAGAACTTCGTATATAACCTTGCATGTTGTCATGCGTACCCGAGTATCAATGGCAGTTAGTGAGTTCTGCAGTGTTGGCTGGGCCCAATGTGCCAGGTTCATTGAATTTAATCACCGTAGCATGGTCACCACAACTCTTGAACTCGACCACCCCCATGAATCCTTTAAGAGCAAACAAAATGTGAAATACATTATAATTCCCTGACAGTAAAGTAGAGGTATTGTGCATAAGAATTAAGTTTTATCACAACGATCGCATCCCAGATTCAGTGTGATGAGAAGAATCGAATCATTAAGTGTACAAAGTGACGAGAATGTGGAATGTTGAAGTGGTAAAGAAGTAAAACGATGTTTCACTGAGAGTGATATGACCGAAGAAGAAGAACAAAGTGGGTGAGAACAAAATGAGTCCAAGACATATGCTATCCATTCTACCCACTGACGGTGAAGATTGGTATGATGGAACAGTGTGTGAAATCAATGAGTAAAAAAAAGCAATTAAAAAAGATATATGTATAATCGGAGCCATCCATCAACGCAATCATTATTTATGAAACGATACCGCTTTTTCCGAAAACTTGCGTATTGAAGTTTGTCAGTTTTATGTAGCTCTCGTGACAGTAGAATCAACAATATCACAGAAACTCCTTCATAATCCAGTTGACTATACACCACATCTTAATTAGTCTCTGTCTTTCTGGTCCGTGTCTGATTTATGGTCAGAAAATGTTTATTAATAAAATCCCAAAACCAGTTATCTGATAGTAATCCTAATTTCTTAGACACTCTGAAACTTTGGTTTGCGTAGAAGAGAAACTTAGTACTATACGGGGATCGTTGAAAAGTAAACACAAATTGTGATAGCCAAAATAACCCGAATCGATTCATCAACGAAGGGTTTCCAACAAACAGGACTGGTGCATGTACACACAAGGGTGGAACTGAGTGCCATAAAATGAGTTATTTAACAATTTTTAGTCACTAAAATCGCATCACTCATGCGAGTGTGTGACGTAAGCCTTACCGTTCTGCGGAGGAATTTTTATTCGGATATGGAACGCTTCTGCTGTGGCCATTCTATCGGTCCTTACAGGTCAATCTTACGCACAAGTCGTTTAGTTTATTCTTATTCCCAACACACACATTACAATACGTTCTGTTCTCGCGGACATCTTCATGGCCAAACTAAAGACAACTTCTTTATCTACAGCCATTAGTTCTTTTGAACAATATCACCGTTACGTGGATGATATCTTTTGCGTNCTTAATTGATGAATGGGCGTTATTAAATTCTGACTCCACTTGGGCAAGATCGCGGACATCTTCATCGCCAAGCTAGAGACAACTTCTTTATCTACAGCGATTAGTTCTTTTGAACAATATCACCGTTACGTGGATGATATCTTTTGCGTGTCTAACAAGAACACTAATCTTGCCCAAGTGGAGTCTGAATTTAACCACGCACATTCATCACAATTGAACCAGAGGAGAACGATTGCCTCCCTATTTTCGATATTCATCTGACCAGGTGCCCCGACGGCTCTATCCAAAGCAGCATGGAGTGGACAGTACACAAATTTTCAATGCTTCATCCCACTCTTTAAAAAACGTAACC